TTGTGATTTGAATGAATGTTTACAGAACAAATTGGTACTCCATTCAAATGTTCATATACCTTTTTTTCATGACATTGAATGCAGTCCCCACAATGTTACAGCACTTTTCCCACTTCCTCCTGGTGGTTACCACTTCCATTTGTCCTTCTTCCCTATCTATTCCTGCCTTCTGGGCTTTATTCCTGGACAAGTGCTGTCCTTTTGATCTCATATAGTTGATTGCTCTAAGGAATGCATACCTCCCTGGTATTATTGTTCACTCCATAGGCCTGTTTGTTCTTCAACTGAAAACCGAGCCACGGGGTGAGTTTAGTTCCAGAAATGAAGGGTGACTAAGATCCTTAGTCTCGGAGGTTGTACTGATCTCTATCAGATGAGTAAGACTGGTCTTTTTTATTATTTTGAGTTTGGTCCACATATTTCTCCCATTTTGTCCAGGACCTTGTACTGTGAACCCTTTCAGAGTGGTTGACAGTGGTAGCCAGGCACCATCAAGTTCTTCTGGTCTCAGTGTCATGCAGTACACTAATTCTTGGACTAATTGTTTCCGTGCTTCTTTGATTTTCTTCACAATTCTTTGCTTCAGATGGGGAGAGAAATAGTTACACCTTACATGGCTGCTCCCAAGCTTTTAAGAACCCAGTTGCTACTCACTGAATTAAGATATAAAACATTGTCTTACTGGCCGAAGTTACACCAATTGACCTTGATGTCCCCAAGACTATAGTCCTGAGCTCCCAGACACAACAACTCATTCTCACAAGGAGCTTGGTTACAGCTAAGAAGTTTTCATAACTTTCCCCCCATTTGCTCTACTGTATGTATGGATATGTATGTAGAAATGTCTGCCAAACCTATATATGGTTGTGGGTATAGTGCCATTTGCCTACCCATACCTGATCAGCTTGCCTGTCTACCTATGCATCCACTTGTAGAGTAGTGTTTGTTATTACTGATAATTCAAAATTGTGTATTCAGCAGTATTTATCTTTCTTGTCTGTAGCACTTGTGCACCGTTTCATGTCTTTCTTTTCATTATTGCTGTTGTGCTGATCACCCCCAATTTGGATATTGTCTTTCCCTTAACCCAAATTAAAATATGTCCCTTATCTAGTGATTTTCCCTCCCCTCCCCTAGCATCCCTGGTAACCATCAAAGAATGTTCCTTTCCACATATAAACCATTCCTTCACTTTTTATAGTAGTGGACTTATATTTATTTGTCTTTTTGGTGATTGACACACAAAAAGACATGATGTCCTCCGGGTTCATCCATGCTTTGGACTGTTTCATGGATTCTTAGTTATTATTTAATGTTACATAATATCCCATTATGTGTTTGTAGCATCGATTGTGTACCTATTAATTCATTGATGGGTACTTATGTTGTTTCTTTTTCTTATTGTGAATAGTGCTTCAGTGAAGATTGGTGTGCATATATCTACTCATGCCCCAGCTCTCATTTCTTTAAGATATACACCTAGTAGTGGAATTGCTGGATCAAATGGTATTTCTATTTCCAACTTTTTAAGACAGCATCATACCATTTTCCACAGTAGTTGTACCATACAGTAGAGTCCCACCATCAGTGTATGAGAGTTCTAATCTCTCCATACCTTC